TCTGATAACTATTTGGTTTTGTTAATATACCTACGGTAGATTAAATTTAGAGTTAAACACATTTATTTGAACAAACAGGAAAGTTTATTGATATTATCAAAGAAAAACACATGCATTATTTTCAAATAAAGATATGTTACGGAAGAAAGTATCTACAATAGATTTCGATTTATTATTATAGTAAGATCTGAAATAATTTCAATATAGAACACCTTTGTTATCTGCTTGTGAATTTTTGATAATCTTCATTATAGTGATGAAGATCGTACACCAAGTATTTCAAAAATTATTTTGTCTCATGAGAAAGAATATTTTATAATATGCGTATATGGTACTTAAAATAAGATATTCATAAATGAGACAAAATCGATTTTGTTTTGCTTGTTGGATATCAGATTATATTACGTTTTCTTCAAAGCAAGAAACTTTCTTCTTTACTAATAATTTACAGTCTTTTTTAATGTTAACTCTTCAATAGCGGTTATCACCACCTGTTAAAGAAATTCTATGTAAAATGTTGAAATGTAAATATGCTGCTTTCGAATGATTTTGAAACTTAGGTGATGCAATAGTTCTGATTTTTTTCTTGACTAGAGAAATGCTCATTTATCTGATTTTATTCATATCGATGACTGAGAACTCGAGATTTACTTAAAAGAAATAGGTATTACTGATTCGTGCCATCTTATCATAGAATCAATTTGTCTATGGGTAGTTTCATAGCATGGATATGACATGAAGAAAGAGACTATACGATGACGTCGATGAAAATTATATGAGATATATTTTTGTATCATTAAGAAAATAATATATTGTTCTTGCGAAAAAACATACTACACGACATATAGCCAGATTATTTTGGTCCAATGCAAATAAATAACTTTTTATCTTAACTCGTCATTTAGTCATATTTCGTTCGTGAAACTCTTTTAGAACATTTTTTAGTGCAAAATTCTTAATCGATTCTTGTCAGTTAATACTATCTTTATTTTACCAATATGTGTTTTTTCACAGAAGAAGATATCATATTTATGTAAATTTTATTAGATCGGAAACTTTATAATATCTGCACTTATCAAATAAGACTTGACACTCAATATCTCGCTTAAATTTTCTTAAATTTCAAAGAATTTAAAGAGAAGAAAGCAAAACAAATTAAAGTATCGAAAAAAAATACTATGTTCACATTTCAATATAAGCACAATCAATATTTTGATTCTGAGCTATCCTCAATGGTAATAAATAATTATTCTCGATTCATTTTGTTTCTCGGAAAATAAAACAATTTCTTTGTGAAGATCTTATCATTTTAAACAGAAAATATCCGGTATAGGATTTACTATTAAACTTTGTATTTAAAAAACAAGTCGTCCAATTGCGTAGTCAGAGTAAACTTTATTCAGTTGTTTGATTGTTTTTAAGTATTTCTGTATTTCTGTAGATGAACATTTCACAAACATTGAATTTTTAATAAAAACCCAATGTTTATCAAGTTGGTTGCTACTAATTTTTATCATTTCATATGTATAAATCAAGTACTAAACTTGAAAGTTTCATACGATGTTCAAGTTTGACATACACGTAAATACAAGATTTAAATAGACCAGCAAATATGCATGAAAAAGTCCAAGAGTTTGTTCATTAGCTTTCATTATTTTTTTCATTTTTAGAAGTTAATATTTATATATTTTGAAACGATAATCTTTTCCACTCTATTTGAGGATAGATTCCTTATCAATTGAAGGTATTTTGAATAGAGTAGAAAGGCGATACATTTTTAGCTCTTGTTATCTTTTTAAAAGCAGTTCCAAAAATGCCTCAACTCATTTAAAACATCTTAACAGGCATGGAAAGACAAAAGCTTTCAGAAACTTTTAAATGGCGAACAAAATGATCGTATGAGAGTGCATCTTTTTGCTGGTGGTATTTCAATAGATGACTGTGGGTGTGGATGTTCTTCTTTCATATACACCCACATCCGCACCCTTAACTATGAAATTTACATTTTAGGTATATAACACACATGGATTTATTTTTATGCGCACTCTTTGAGTATTTAAGAAATTAGGAAACTACTTAACTCATAGTTGTTTCAATTATGGGTGTGGGCGTATATGAAAGAAGAATATCCACACTCACACCCTCTTGACACATCTTTCTGAAAGCAACAAAATTTATATAAATCGATAGTGGAGCCGTCGTTTTTAATATTCCTTTCATTTCTGATTGATTCGATAAATTTTGAGATCCAATTGTAGTAAACTCATGTCTACGAAATGTTAAGTCTAGTTGATGTTTATAATATTGTAGAATTTCTGGATTAAGCTTGCGAATATATGATTGTACGAGTTGACATAATGCTATAAATTCATCTGATGAAGAATTTGAATTTGTGGCAGAATGTGTATCTACACATTCAAAAAGAGAACAGTGAGGAAAAGAGACAGAGTGAGAGAAAAAGTGTTCGTGAGAGGGAGAGTCTTTCCCTTCTCCCTCCACTATCTGTTATCTGTCTCTCTTTTTTCTTGAAGTATTCATGAAAAAGAAACCTATCTAAGAGTATACCCAAGAGAGATTAGCTCTTTTCAGACTACTTTCCATGTCTTCTTTTCTAATAATATTATCACTCCAGCAGAGAGAGAGAGATCTCCTTTGATTCTTATGTTTTCTCTTCTAGTTAATATTCCTGCTAATGTCACAGAATAATTTATATAGAGTTTAATAAAAGATATTCTAGAACATAGAAGTAAGAAATGTTCTATTTAGATTTAAGAGAACCAAAAGAACAATTCTAGTAACAAATAATTTAACGATTGAAAAATATTTTCTTCATAGGAAAAGAAGCAAAATCTGATATTCAAGTTTAAAGATAAAAATACTACTCGATAATATATCTGTGCCAAGAAGTACTTCACTCACCAAGTACTAGATTTAATAGGTGGTTATAGAAACCGTCGGACCTCCACTTATAAATCATAGAGGAGTCAATAAACATATCGCAGTGACGTAATTAAGTTTACATTACTAATAGTATACATCCTTGTGTATATGACATTAACACATAGTTGCGTACTGAACAGTACGTAATCTTTATGTGTATCTTTTCTTTCTCTCTCTCTCTCTCTCTCTCTCTCTATTAGGGATGTGCAGTGCCAGTTTACTGAGCACTGACTACACTGTCATCGGTGTCACTGGCACACTGATTTCCCTGACACTGACTTCACTGAGAACACCGAAAATATTCAGTCAGTGTTCACTGCAGCACTGAAGATCAGTGAAACACTGAAGTTCAGTGCACTGACCGCACCGACATCGGTGTCCAGTGGAACACTGGTATACCGACAACTTCTGATTGAATAAAGTTGTAATACAGCTACTGTAACATCTTTTGAAAGAAAAATACGTATGCGAAAGAAGATGGCATTGGATAAGACGGTATGACCGGTATAATTTCTCAATTATGTTTCTTATGCCCCAGACACCCCAGAAAAAGCGAATTAAGTTAAAGTTGAATTACGCAATGCGATTAGTTAATTCAAAGTAAAATCGTCTCGAAAAGATGAGTTAACTCTGAATTTACCAATCTCATTGCGTAATTTAACTATAACTTAATTCACTTTTTCTGATGCTTTTGGAGCCTTAGAGTTGATTATATCCAAAGTAATATTTTCAAAGAATTGCCAAGTTATCCATTCGCTGTTACCGGATAGCATGAGCTATGGTTGTTCTAGTTTTTTTTCTTCCTTTTCTTCTTTCATGGTATTTATTCATTCTCTCTCTTCCCTTCTATGACCATTCCAGGATGAAAAATTCGGCAGCAGAATCTTATCGGATTCTGATAGCTTCCGACAGAATCAAAGATATAAAATGAAATTTTATAAATTCATTTTATAAATGTGACCTAAGCTACACAGTCCAACTAAGTTTCTCTTTGTTATGCAGAATAAATTTGGATTTTTCTTGAATGTTTCACACAGAACGAGAAGTTCTACGTAGCACACCAACCTATTAAATACATAGTTGAGAGGCTTTGAATTGAATGATGGTATTCATGTATTCGAGTAAAGTAATACGTGATGCAATCCATTGAAGTTTATTCAACAAACTTTGTTGTATAATTTAAAATTATAGACTATTCAAAATTATGATCCTTGGCAAAGATGTATACTTTGACGGGTTGCNTATTGAGAAACATATACACCCTATTATTAGCAGCGCAATATTGCTATCTTGTTTTATTGTAAACTCATTATTGAATAAATTATTACAAGTTGGTATTGTCCAAACATTCTTGCTTGTACTACTTACAAGAGTTTCGATTAATTATCTTGCGATACACCCACACCCACACAAAACAAATAGATAGAATTCATCATTTGAAATTCCGACTGAATGACTTTTTAATGTCTGCTTGGGTTAACTAGATGTAATTATTTAAGTTTGATTTTCTTCAAAAATATAGAATTTAAATACGCTTGAGAGAGTGAGAGAGAGAGAGAGAGAGAACGATCTATTCGAAGAATTTTGCTCGAAACTTTCGAAATTATTTTATATACTAGCTATACCCGAGAGAGAGAAAGAGAGTGATCTTCTTTTATTCTTATGTTTACTCTTCTAGGTAATATTCCTGCTAATGCTAAATGGGCACAGAACGGAGTGACTATTGCTGGAGGAAACGGGTATGGAGATGCCACTAATCAACTCAGCGGTCATGAAGGTCTCTTCGTTGATGACGATCAAACAGTGGTTATTGTTGACCGCGAGAATCATCGTATCATGCAATGGAAGAACGGTGATACAACGAATGGACAAGTTGTTGCTGGTGGTAAAGGCCAAGGAAATGGATTACATAAATTGGATCGTCCAACTGATGTATTAATTGACAAAGAGACGGATAGTCTCATTATTTGCGATTGGGGGAATCGACGAGTTGTACGATGGTCTCGTCGTAGTGGTACGACACAAGGTGAAATACTCATCGACAACATCTATTGTTGGGGATTAACAATGGATGAGCAGAGATATCTCTACGTTTCTGACGTCGAAAAACATGAAGTAAGACGATATCAATTGGGTGATAAGAATTACACTCTTGTCGCTGGTGGTAATGGTAAAGGCGATGGTCTCAATCAACTCAACGTGCCGATATATATTTTTGTCGATCGACAACAGACTGTCTACGTATCAGACTACCACAATCATCGTGTAATGAAATGGAATAAAGGTGCAACAGAAGGTATTGTGGTTGCTGGAGGGCAAGGCCGAGGGAATGCTCTGACGCAATTGTATCGTCCTCAAGCAATCTTCGTTGATACGTTGGGTACACTATATGTAGCAGACTCGGGGAATCATCGTGTAATGCGTTGGACTCAAGGAGACAAAAAACAAGGCACTGTAGTTGTGGGTGGACATGGTCAAGGAGCAGGAGAAAATCAGTTCAACTACCCCTGGGGTTTGTCTTTCGATCGGCATGGTAATCTCTATGTCGCTGATCGTTATAATCATCGTGTTCAACGATTTTCTATCGAATAAGACTTGAGGATTGTTTTTTCATTGTTCGTTTCTTTTTCTATCCTTCGAAATAAATGAACAAAAAAAAGAAATTTTCTTTTACTCTTTCGCTTCAAAGAAAAGTAAAAAGCTAAAATAACAGATTACGTCATATGTTTCTTTTCTTCTTCTTTTATTTATTTGTTAAATGAAAAAGAAATGAATTAAAGAAAAATTATTTTTTGTCAAAAATATTAATTATTAAAGTGAAAAATAAATTCTGTCCTTTTGAAAATATTTATTATTTAAATGAAAAAATAAAATTTTGTATCATTTTCATAAAAATATTTATTAGTAACACGAAATTATTTATTAGTGAAATGAAATAAAATTTGCGTTATTTTTACAAATTTTATGATTTAAATCAGAGGTTGGCTGTAGAAAGGCCGGAAGGAAAAATATCGAAAGGAAAAATACCGAAAGAAAAACACCGAAAGAAAAATATCGAAAGGGAAAAATGTCAAAAACAGAAAAGATAGAAAAAAGCGACGTCTACTAAATGAAGGTTCTAATAGTTTATTGTTCATTGTTGTTGATCTGATTATTCCATTGGTTTGACAATGATAACCCTTGATACTATTGATAAGTAATATCTTATGAAAACTAGCTAAAATAGGCGTAAAATAGTATACAACGATTAAAATTCTATCATGATGACTACAGCTTGCTCATCTTTATTTGGTGACAATCATTCACCATCTCCAGTTATTTCATTTGTTATGTCGCAAAAAGAAAAGCCTTTGCTTGTATCAGATGAATATATTTTCAAACTGAATAAAACAACAACAACTAGTAAATATTGGATATGTGCAGATATTGCATGTTCCGCAAAAATTCATACAAATACAAATAATCAATTAACTAAAATGACCGGTGAACATAGCCATGTTCCTGAAAAAGAAACAATAGCTGTACGTGAATTTCGTGAAAAAATTAAACAACGAGTAATTGAGGAGACAACCCCTATTCCCCGCATTTATGATGAAGAGTGTGCTAAAGCGACGTTGTCAACTGCAGCAATAGCTGTATTACCAAGTGAACGTGAAATAGGCAAGCAATTATTATCTCTATATCTTTCTACTAGTAGTAATGCTTTGTTAATTTTAAGATAGTGCCATTAACAAAGCACGTCGTGCTGTCACACCAATAATTCCAACAACACAACTATTTGATATTCCAGGTCCTTTCGCAAGAACATTGAGAGACAATACGTTTTTGACTATTGACAAGTTGATTACGAGACGACAGATGATGATTTTGTTTGCTTCAGATGAACAATTGAAAATGCTATTTTCAGCAGAGACCATTCTCATGGATGGAACGTTTTCGTCTTGCCCAAAAATATTCGATCAGGTTTATACAAAACATAGTATTAAATATGAACAATGTCAGTAATTGGGTTTTTCGCAGCTGCCTCTATAAGTACAACTCTTTCTCTCTTTAGCATTTCCCTGTGTTTTTGGCTTATTGCCAAACAGATTAAAACCTACATATCAGTTTTTATTTCACGAATTGAAATTTATAGCTATTCAAATGAAACTCGACTTTGCACCGAAAATCGTCATGAGCGATTTCGAACCAGCTCTGATGGGTGTAGTTAAAACTGAAGTAAATGATTTATATTTCTTGTGATGAAGAAGTATGTTAAGAATTTTTTTTAATTTTAGTTTAGTGCAGCAACTCATTCCTCTTGCTATTTCCACTTTACTCAGGCTATATACCGTAATATATAACGACTTGGACTATGCACAATATATAACCATGATGATGATGTTAAACATTTTTGCAGACAGCTAATGACTCTTCCATTATTACCTGAACCTGTTATTGAAGACACCTATGATGAGCTAGTACGAGACTTACCAACTAATATGAGCGAAACAATGAAGCGTTTACTAGAATATTTTCAAGAACAATGGTTCGCCAAGGTTCCCGTGTCTCAATGGTGTGTTCATGGTTTGTCTATGAGAACGAACAACAACGCCGAAGGCACACATTTATTTCTATTTCTCTTGAAAACTCATACTGTTATATTCTTTTTAGCATTTCACAGTCGTTTTAATCGTCGAGTTTTAGTTCATCATCCAAATATCTGGTCTTTTATCAAATTTCTCCAAGGCGAAGAGAGCCGTTTTTACCATATGAATATTCAGTTCTCTGCAGGTTTAGATGCACGGGCGAAACAAGCAAGAACTATGGCAATTCAACGCCATATAGATTGTCTTGATAGACGATATTATGATGGTGTTATTAATGTAATGGAGTATTTAAATGGTTTGTCTCTTACAGTTGCTAAACGGAAAAAATGACATTTTATAATTATTTCTTTTTTTTACTCTTATTTATCTATGATCTATGCTGTGATGCTATTATGATTTCAAGAATAAAAACATCTTAGTGCAAATTTTCGACATTTTCCCTTTCGGTCTTTCTACGACACACCATTGAAACATAGCCAGTATGAATACAAGCTAAAATAGTTAAAAAAATAAAATATACATATAATCATGTAAGAAGAAGAGAAAGAAAGATGGGGAATGATTTCTAACGTTAAAAGTCATTGCTATTTATAGTCATTTTTGTTATTCGTAATAATTAGACAATTGGTAAGCAATCGAGATCAAGTGAATTTCATTTCTATTTGTAAAATTTAACATTCCGCTCACTACATAAAGTGGTCTTTTGATATTTTTAATTGATTGCTATGCAATCGATCGTAAAGATCACAAGCATTCCTAAGAGTGACAAAAACCAAATATTGTAATGTTGACTAGACCGCTAATTGATCTTGGGGTGTGAGGGTCTGTGTCTAGTTAATATTATTTTATACAGTCACCCACGCGATAACTTGATGAAAAAAAAATAGTAAGATGTCCATCGTTTTTTGCACTGGTCACAATTGAAAGAAAAATATGTATCACTTATTTGGCGAACTGGCCGTGTAAATGAAGCAATCTTTTGATATGCGAAATTAAGAAGCAGCGAAATTAGAGTCACACTTCATTGACTCAGGTAAGCATTTTATGTTGGAAAAAAAGAATAAATATGTAACGACTATATATACAACGTAATACCTGTTGTAGACGCACATTAAAAAATACGCATTTTTACATCGACTGGTAGGTACTCTTATTCGATCATTGATATTTTTGCATTAGCCATGTGTTTGATTTTTACAATATAGCAGTGTAGATAATAATGACAGCA